ACTACCAGAAGCTAATGTATTTCCATCAGGAGAGAAACAGACTGATTAGACAGCTCCCTAATGACCATCTAATTTGGCTTTTTATTATCCTGTTATGACTTCCCATAGATGGATAGAGTAATAATCATTACCAGAAGCTAATGTATTTCCATCAGGAGAGAAACAGAGTGAGTTGACAGTTCCACAATGACCATCTAATTATGCTTTTTTTTATCCTGTTTTGACATCCCATAGACAGATAGGATTTAGAATACTACAAAATGCTAATGTAGCTCCATCAGAAGAGATACTGACTTAGGTGATTCGTTAATTAGGACCAAATAATTTAACTTTTTACTTTCTTGCTTTAGAATCCCATAAAAAGACAGTCTTATCATCACCAGATGCTAATGTGTTTCCATCAGGAGAGAAACAGACTGACCAGACATAATGAGTATGACCATCTAATTTGGCTTTTTATTATCCTGTTTTGACATCCCAAAGACGGATCGACTTATCTAGACTACCAGAAGCTAATGTATTTCCATCAGGAGAGAAACAAACTGAAGCTACAGAATTAGTATGACCATTTAATTTATTCAATTCATGGATTCTTAAGTCTTTCCATTTACAATTATATAATAATGCTCCATTCAGGTTAATTCCACATATGTTGATATTATTAAATTAAGAACCACTTAAATTGCACCTAACAAAATTAGCTCCCATTAAAGAACTATTTTAAATTTTTATGTTTTCAAAATTTTGGATTCTAAGGTCTACCTTCATCTAAACTAATAAATGTAATGAATTAGACCCACCCTATATTAGAGTTTCATCAATGGATGTAAGATGAACTAGAAATTACAGAAATTAAATTATTCTTCTATTATCCTTGATGCTGTTAACAAGGCTTAATTTAGATTCTTCATTTTCTTCAGAGGAAAAGTCTTTGTAATTAAAGACATGATCTTGTAATTTTTTTAAGACATCTGTAATTTATTTAATGTCATTTCCAATAACAGACAGTTTTTATTCCTTATCCCATTTTTTTAAATTCTCTCCTTGTAGTAAAATTTATAATTCTAATCGACTTTGATTCCCAATTTCTGATAGAAATCCAATGCAGTCTTACACTTTTTACTTTCTTAATATTTCTAATATGACGCCAAACATTTGCTCCTCTACATTTTTGACCTAAGCAAAGATCTCAGCTAGAGCTTCTTTCTGTTTAAAAGAGCCCTGCATTTTCTTTTTTATTTTTTTAATGAATTTCTATTACTCTTATTTAAAGTTATATACTGCAAAATCAATAAAAGTATCTTGTGCATTTCAGTAAAATAGTAGTTCAGATTTTGTGCAAATTTTGAATTGATAATAATTGAGGTAAATTAAGCTAGTAATAAATCATTCCAACACAAACATTACTTTCTTCTTAAATAATATGGAATAACTAATTTTTACATGAATAATTTAATTTATACTTAATTTGGGTTATATAATTGAACAATATATTTTTCTTATTCTCCTTATATAATTATTTAAAGCAAAAATAATTGAATTTTATGGGAAAATGTTTAGAGATTAGATTATGTTTTATTATTGTAATCAGATTTGATTCATAGTTGTGTTATTCTTCTTTAATCTTCGATTTTAGATTTGGGTAAATAATATAATAGGAAATGTGCATACATCAATCAATATTATATTGGGATTATTATTCATATTTATGTTTCTGTTTGGTGGAGTTTTTTCAGATTTTTTAAATGTTCAAAACCTAGTATGACACCTCAGGTTGTCACCTCTCCAGGAAATTGTGATCAAAATATTTTTAAAGTTTTATAAAATCCAAAGAGGGGTATTGTAAAAAGTGAGGATGTATTTTTGAAAAATTCCACATTTTTGATGTAATGAGATAAGATGAAACATTAAAGTATTTATAGTTATCTTTATTTTTCTGATGTGTGATATATTATGATTTCTATATAAACCTAATTGTTTATGAATTTACTAAGACTATTTTTTAAATAGTAAAATCTTTGAATTTTTTAATTTATTCAAATTTAATGAAACTTCAACTAATTTAAATTAACAAGTGTCCTTTTGTAATCGAAATGATTTTAGTTTTACTGTATTAAGTTATCCTTTTGTTATTGATTTATTAAGAGTGATTATAAAAAATACAAAATCTTGCTCTTAAATAATTTATATGAAACATTGAAAAGAATAAATTACCATAAGTCTAACTCTTTACGTAGATAGAAAATTTAATTAAATGAAGTACAATAATTTTTTATAATAAATTGTGAGAATAAAAATTAAAAACAAATTTAATCGAATATTTATTACAAATATCAAAATTTTAATTAGAATCATAAAAGTACTAATATTATTTATCAAGATCTCTTGTGAATTTATTTAATTCATAATCTACATCAAGACTAGCAATGTTAGGTATTGATTATAATGCATAAAAGATTATTAGATTAGAAATAAACTCAAATCAACATTTATCAATTATCTGATTTAAAGGTTCTTATTAATTTTAATATATATATATTATTTTTAATTAATTTTAAGTATAGCTATTTATCTATTCATAATCATATGTTAACAATCTTTATGACTTTTGATTCATTATAAATGGATTATTAAGCATAATTTTCAGTATTAATTATAGAGAGTTGTAAACTTATGTATTTCAAATATATCTCAATATAAATTAAATGAATATAAATATAAAGAAAGTTTAGGTATCATAATATGTAATAATCTAAATTTTAAATAAAGCATAGATTTACAAATTTATCTTTTTTTAAACTATTTATTTACATAAT